AGCATAAATCTCTCTTCCCCCTTCCTCTCTCTCTCTCTCTCTCTCTCTCTCCCTCTCCCCCTCTCATTCTCTTTTCCTCTTCCTCTCTTTTTATTTATAGATATTTCTGGTTCTCTGGAGAATGCTGACTAAAACAGGCATAAAGGAATCTAGAATTATTTTAAGAATCACCTACCTGGGTCCTTAATGGTTTATACTAATTTAGAGAACTAGTCTAGATGGGAGGCTGGAAGACCTCAATAATTTGTGTCTGATGGGAATCAGAGTTGGGGGGAGCTAAACAAAAGGACATAGGCTTCTGTCTGTGGACTTCAACACAGGTCCAGGGTATTCTCAACCTGCCAGCGTAAACCAACCAATTCTTCCACTTTTTGAAAGAACGAGGACCACTGAGCCCAATACAAAGAGTAACACCGTGGGCTACTTGCACAGATGGCCAGGAGGTAGGACTCCCTGTATAGAGGGAACTAAGAAAGTCGCAGGAAATGGGTCAGTTCTTTCTTCCCAATAAGCTAGTGCTCTCTCTGGCTTTCGCAAGGATTGGGAGCTTTGCCACCGCTTGGACTCCCTCCTCCTGGGGGCAGGTCCCAGTATGGAACTGGGCAGCACAAGGCTGGACACCAGCCCCAGAGCCTCCTGCAAGGGGATGCACACAAATGTGTGTTGCCCAAATGCGTGAAAGAATAAAGTCTAGAATTTATAAAATGCTTTCAAATATTACTATCACATATTCTCTCATTTGAACCTCAAGAAAACAAAACCAAACCCCCATGAGACTGATGATGTCATTATCACTGTGCTCATCTCACAGTTGTGGAATCAGAGATTAAAGGACTTGCACTAAGACACATAACTCTTAAAGTGGCAGAGTTAAAATGTAAACCCAGGATGTTTTTTCTTCAGCTTCTCGATTTTTTTCAGTTTGGCTTTTCATTTTATTCATGGGTTAGATTCTGATAACAAAGGGCCCCTGTCACCTTGTGACCTTTCCTTCAAGTCACAGTCAGGGAGACAGCTGCCTAAGGGGAACTCCTTCCCTTCCTGTCAGCTACATTCCCTCCTGATCTCTGAAGCCAAAGAGAATGATCCTGGAGTGGGAGCCTGGTCTCAGAGCTTAAAGGCCTACGGCAGGTTGCATAGCCAGTCTCAATGAAGCCACCATCAACATAAGACTTCACATTAATTTGAGGACTAAATATCCCAGATACAGACTTATTACTGCCTATTTTATTTCCAACTATGACTGATAGGTTAATTGGGAGGAATAAAGAATAAAAAATAGAAAAAACAAGTGGAAGAATTGTGCCTTCATTTGTTTGGATGGAGATGGAGAGGTCAGGGATAGCTGGCAGCTCCCACGTCATATGCTGGCGCTGATGATCTGGGTGTGATCACTCACTGTGCTGTGTTGAGAGCAAGTCTAAGCTGAACTGGGCTCTAGGACGGATATGAGGTCAACTGGCAACAATCTGATGTTGGCTCAGCAGCACACAGTAGGAACAAATGTTTGAGCCACAGAGTGGCTCAACCCAGGTTGGTCTTCTGGTGTAAGATTGTAAAAAGAGGAAGAAGGAAAATCAGTTAAATGTATTTCAAAAAGCATGAATTAGAGACAAAAGAGCCTGAAGTGAGGGAGTAGCAACAAGAGAGATTTACCATAAAGTTTAGGTGAAGTAGTAAAACATTATTCTTCACAGAGGGTGGGATAAGCACATCTAGAGAGAGTGAAGGTGGTAACTAGCCACCCGGCAGGGACAATCCGGAATAAGGTGTGGGAGCGCACAAGGGAGATTCTGCAGGTGGTTCCATTTTGTGTGAAGACCAGAAGCAGACACCACCAGGTAGGGGAGAAGTCCAAGTGCCCGCCCAGCCCCCAACATCAGAGTAGAAGGGATCTGGACTGGGAAAGCCCTTCTGCTAGAGACTGCCTCCACAGCCCTGAATCCTCAAGCCTGCTCCTGGGCCCGTCACTGAAAGCTCCAGTGATGTCTAGGAGTTCACTAAGAGCAGGGGGCGGCACCTTGCCAGGTGAACCAAACAGCAATTGCTTTGTCTGGGGATGAATATCTGATCAAGCACAGAAGAGGCCAGAGGAAAAGGAAGCCTTAAATGCTGAGTGTGTGGTTGTGCGTGCGTGCGTGCACACCAGCACACCCTGCCCAGCCTAGCCTCTAAATGCAGACCATACCTTCCATAATCCCTTCTCTCACTCAGCCTCTCTAGTACATCAGCCAAGCAGCAGAACACAGCCTCCATTCTGCTCAGGAATGTGCTCTTGGAAACTTAATCTAACTGCTGAGACTGGGCCAAATCCCCCATGGCATTAACCCAAAGACAGCACCCCTCTCTCCAGCCCTCCCCTTTTCCCCATCCCCCTACCACCTCCTCCAAATTTGGGAGACTACAGTTACACTCCACCAACTCCCTTTCTCCTTGACACAAGCCTACCCCCCTCCCCCACTAAACTAGCTCTCCTGATTTCCAGCATTTCTCTGGCCTTGTACTCAGGCCCAAACATTTCACTTCTGATTCATGTCTAAATGACAGGCCAATAGTTCTTGGCTTTCAAACAAGACTCACTGGGCTTCTGCACAAGCCCCTTCTTCTCTTACTGTGCCTCTTGGGTTGCAACCAAACTGTTCCCTTTGTCCTCACTGCCAACTGCAGAGCCCTTCAAGCAGCACAGAAAGAAGTGGCCAGGAATTCTTTTTTTTAAATAAAGGCCATAAATTTTCTCTTCTCACAGATATACCTTGAAGTAGAAGGCAGGCCCCAAAATAAATCTGCCACTCCCCAACTCTCCCTTCCTCCAAACAATAAAAGGTTCAGCCGGGCTCCTAATGAAGCCAAATGAATGGTTATGAAGGTCTTTTGCATCTTCACAGACATGTGCTGACCATTTGCAGATGAAATCTCAGTCCTTGATGAGCAGCATTATCCTTGGAAGGCACAGAGGTTACCGAAATGCACATCTATTTATAATAATAAATGTTTGGAAGCCAACAAATTGCCCAGCAATAGGAAAAGGGTTCAGCCCATTATGGCACAGTCATTCAGGGGATGTTCTGGAGCCATCAGTAATTGTGATCATGCTGGGGGGAGGGGGGGCGGGAGGCTGGGGACAGATGAGGATGGGGCGTGAGGGAATCTGCTGGGGCAATGGCTGCATGGTGTATACAAATGAACAATGCGTGTTTGTACACTTAGGATCAGCACACTTTGTGCATCTCAGCTGCATTTTGTACTCAGTAAAAAAAAGCAAATTTTCATCATATGACCAATGGAAAATGCTTATCCTACAATGTCAAGTGGGAGAAAGAAGGTGAGAAACTATATATTCAGTAGTATCATTAAATAGTTTAAATGTACGGTTGTGGTAAGAGACAGGGAGCATGTATTCCAAAACGATGATGGTTGTGTGAGGATGGTGGACGTATTAGAGGAGGCATTGTTTTCTATGTAACCTGCACTTTCTGTAATGCAATTTTAATTATCATTTAAAAATAGAAGAGAGGAGTATGATGGTGGGAAGTATATTTCTGACCTCTGACCTCATGACTTCTTGTTAAGGTGAGACGTCCTCCTGCCCTCCCTCCCACCCCACATGCACAGCTGGAGGGGGGGAGTGGCAGATGGCAGGGTGGCCTGTGCCTGTCCCCCTCACAGGCTCACAGCCTGTTCCCCAGAGGCCTGGCACTCAGATTCAATGAGTGCTCCATGTCACAAAGAAAGCAGCTCCCACTGTGTGGGACCTACAAAATATAGCCCAGGTTTGGCCTGGCCGCCCAAGGAGGTGACTGGGGGCCCACAATGCCTTCTTCCCTTCTCTAAAACAAAAACTGTTTCTTAAGAGAAGAGGAATATTGCTAGAGATCTCTGTCCTGTCCTCCCAGGACTGATGCCCCTCCAGGGGCCTCAGAACCAGAGGGCAGGGAAGGGTTTTTTCTCTCTTGCTTGTCCACTTCCCCTTTTCTCCCACTACTCTCCTTCCAGGACTCTCGCCTCACACACCTCAGGGCCCCAGCGGACAGAGGAGCATTGCAGAAGTCTGCTGTCTGAGGCGTGACCTGTTACAAAAGGACCCCAGGCTCCTGGAGCCACATGAGCCACACTAGGGCTGAAGACAGCAAGGAAGCTATGCTACATCCCAAGGGAGCATGCTCCACAGTGTTATCCTCCAAAGGTAAGCTTTGCTTTCAGTAAGCTTCTCTCTTCCCTATATTCTGGCTCAGAAAAGGGGAGGCATCTTAGTCCTTCCTGGCTATAGGCTCAGGCTGATCTGCAGCCTTCTGAAGTTAATTTAATCAGTCTCATTTCCCACCTGTACTGTGGGTAGAAACTGGATTGTGAGTGTACTGGACCCAGGACCACAGTGTGCCCATGTGGTCATTACATATCAGACCAGTGTGATGTATTCTCCCAGCATGGTCCTTGGATCAAACTATTCTCTCATCTCTTCCTTAATCCTCTCTCTCTTTTTCTCTCTCTGTCACAGTTTCTTTTTCATTGTGTTCTGTCTATACCCTGGGCATTTGGAACACCCTTGCCGAGTGATAGGAGGCAGAGTGTGGGATGGGCAGGCTCTGCCCACATCCCTATGAATGTACCCACCGGGAGGATGGGCAATGGGGGCTGTGGGAGGGCATGAGCACTTGGCCCAAGCACACCTAAGCCGCAGAGTGACTGAGTAGAATGGGGCTGGCTGCCCCAGCTCTGGTGCCCACAGAATGGACACAATCTCAGCAAGAGCATCAACCCTTCTGCTCTTTCTAGATATCCCTCCAGATACTGTCCCTGCTCAGAGAGCAGCTTCCCAAGGCACTGTGGTCCACACCACTGGGGATTATTGGGGCAGCTACTGTTCTGATTTTGAATTTCAGTTTTTAAGGTCCCTCTTCTGGTAAGACTAATGACAGGGTATGAATGGTGGGGGCACGAGAGAAAATGGAAGTGAGGCAGAGAGACAGCACCACAGCAGAGAAACAAAGTTGTGTACTCACTGGCTAGTGTCACAGTGGCTGGCACGCTGGCCACAGCCCCGGCAGGCATCCGGGCCACACACTGGTACCTGCCCACTGTGTGGTTGTTGAGGGCAGTGATGACGAGGGTCCCATGGGTGATGAGGATGCCCAGAGGCTCCGCAGAGCCATTCAGCTCCCTCCCATTGAGGCGCCAGGTGGTGTCCATCCAGGGGGGATCCACCACACAGCCCAGGATCACAGTGCCGCCGAGCTTCTGGACAGTGGATGGAGGCTGGACAGTAACCTGAGGGACCTCATCTGGAGAAGGATGGGGATGCATCAATGAAGTAACCTCCAGGGAACCAACCACATGACCTTTTTATTTTTATTTTAATTTAAATAATTATTTTATTTCATATAATTCTTACATCATTTTTTCATTTTTGCACAATGTATGCATTTTCATTTGGGGCATATTCCCCATATAACTGCACCCCCCCCTTTTTTGACCCTAGTCCTTCCTCTCCCCTCTCCCCATAGTGTGTCTCTGATTTATAGTTGCTTGTTGATTTTGATTTTCACTTTGTATTAATTAGTCTTTTTCCTGGTCTCTTATTTAAGTTTTCTAAATTCCTGCTATGAGTGAGACCTGTATTTTTCTTTTTCTTTCTGACTTATTTCACTGAGCATGATCCCTTCTAGCTCCATCCATGTTGCTGCAAACTGCATGTATTTATCTTTTTTGATTGCTGAGTAATATTCCATGGTGTATATGTACCACAACTTCTTGATCCAGTCATCTATTTTTGGGCATTTGGGTTGTTTCCATAGGTTAGCTATTGTAAATAGTGCTGCTATAAACATAGGGATGCAGATGCCCTTTGGAATTAATGTTTCTGTGTCATTTGGGTAAATACCTAGGAGTGGAATTGCTGGATCATATGGAAACTCTATCTGTAGTAGCTCACATGACCTTTTTAGAATCGTAACACCCAGGCAGCCTGTCAGCTGGGCAACCCTGAGCTGATCTGTCTCTGAGAACTCTGTTCTTGGGCCCATTCTCAACAGCCCTACCTCCTGGCAAGGAGGTGAGAGCAGCAATGTGGTGCAGAGGCAGGTGCGCAGGCTTGGGAGCCGGACAGACTTGGGTCTGAATGCCAGCATCTCTGTTCTGAGCCATGCAACTTCAGCCTTTTTGAGTCTTAGTCTCTTATCCGTAAAATGGAGCTAGTAATACTTGTCTCACAGGGTTGTTATGAAGCTCACAAATAATCATGTAAACCGCTTGCCACGATCTCATATAGCAAATGCTCCCCAAAAGGCAGTTATTATCAGTTCCCTGTCCTCCTCCCACTCCCTCTGGTTTATATTTGAAATGTTGAAAATATAAAAATACAACCAACATAATGCTGTAGAGATCATTTCTCATCTTATGCTATTGAGCAGGTCCCTGGAGGCCAGTGGGAATGAAGTGCTCTTTCAAATCGTTACTGCAAAATGCTAATGCTTTCATCTGGCATTGGAAGTAAAGTGATCTTCCAAGCGGGGCAAGGCAGAGAGAGGGAAGGACAGCACTCACCTAAGTCAGCAAAGCAGCCTGTTGTGGCTAAGAGCAGGCAGGCAAGTGTCACCTCAGGCCTCTTTCCTCTCCAAAGTGCCATCATCCCATGCAGCATGGCTGTCACAGAAGTTCCAAAGTCCCATAAGCCACCAGTCACTTAAAATGATACCGAAATCCCCGGCAACACTCTGTTGTGAGAAAGAGAGAAAGGGCCATGGTGAGAATTCCTGGCAGCCCCCCGTGTGAGCATAGGGCCAACTGCCGACCCTGCCTCCATCACTTATGCAGGTGATATTCAACGTGTGGATCTGCCCGTGAAGCTGGAAGATCAAAGATCATGCTCATGATATTCCTCTTGTAACAGAAGTTTCTTCGAAGTTGTCTCCTTGAGCTAGACGGTGATTTGGTTTGGGTAAGAGTGCTAGGGCCCTGCCCCATGCATTGATAAAGTTGAGGGCACAGGACAGAAAGGCTGAGGCTGCAGCCAGGGCCCAGGCTCTGGCAGTGAATAGCTAGCATGGATGTTGGAAGAATGAAACTGTCATCGCCATTTGCTTCCAGAGTGCCAGCTGCTCATGGCCCCATGGCCCTCCATGCAGCCAGAACGGATCTGTGCATGACTCTCATGCACTAATGGCAGGCTGAACCCCTCACTCAGGGAGACATTAGATAATGAGTCCTAAAGACTCAGGAACTCATAAAAGATCTGTTTTGATTCACCCCTGCTCTATGCATACATCCCTGTGAATTCTCCTTGAGTTCTGCACTAAGCAACCTGCCCAGCTTGTCTGTAACCTCTACTCCCCAAGCGCACACAGACCAAAGGCACACATGAGCCATGGCCCCTCACCTTCTCAAGTGCAGGTCTTATTTCTACACCATTCACCGGCTTCCACAGCTCTCTGTGCCTGGTGCTGGAATTCTGTTTTCCATTTCAATACCATCTATGTTCTTGATGATTGCCTGGGCTGCACCTCCACCCTGGAACAACATTCTTTTGGGTTCTAGACTGCATTGCAATGCCAGTCACCTGGTGATACCTCTCATCTCTCAGCCACCTCTTATAGTTTGCCAGGAACTTCACTCTTCCCCTTGCATTGTATTATTTCCACATGCCACCCTTAATCAATGGCCCTAAAAACATTCATCAAAACCACATGGAGGCAACTGCAACTGTACATTCTTTTTTTTTTTTAAGATTTATTTTATTTATACAAGAGCTGGGGTACAGGCCAGATGCGCAGGAGGGTGAGAGGATTCACCAGAGACAGAGCGGGGAACAGAACAGGCAGACTGAGTGAAATACAGTGCTGAGGGGGGCAGCGGGCGAGACAGAGAGGTCTGCTGTGCCATGTGGGATTCTTGTTGGCTGGCCAGGATCAAACCCGCGCTGCAGAGGTTGCAGACAGCTTCACAGTGCGGTGCTCAACCGCCTGCGCCACCAGGGAGGCCAGGCAACTGTACATTCTAACACACACCACTGTGACAGCCTAAACCATAGTCATGCTTCCATGCTTTCCACTGCTATACTAGTCCAATAAGAAAACCAGGTGCATCAATATTTTTACAAGGCAAGGAGACAAGAATGACCTTTAGATAATGTTGAAGGCAGTTGGCAAATGATCTGGACCATGGACATACCCTTCTTGAATCATGTACATATGGCAGTATTAATAGTAAAATGCTAATTCTTCTGGACCAGTTTATCTAACCAGCGACTCTCTAAGAGTTACAGTCCCCACTGAGAAATCAGGAGCAGTGAGCTGCCCGACTATTGCACTGTCTGTAATAAGAGTCCATCTTCTGCCTGTCAACCTCTCCGCTCTCCTGGCCTGGGATGCTCAAGGCTGGGACACAAGGTTCTTACTCTGTGCGAGGACCTGCTTGAGATTTGCATAAACCTTTCCCTTCTCTTGATCCCTTTGGCCCTCAGCTTTCCACTTGGCTACTGAGGGAGTCGAGAATGCCAGGCTCACTCTGCCTGACAATCACCCCTCCAGACCAGCTATAGGATCCCAGCCCCACACTGAGGTTCAGAATGTTTTCCAGGAGAAAGTGCTTTCCCCTGTATTTTTATTCCCTTCCTTTGCCCTGTGTCTTCAATATCAGAGGACCTCTAAGACTCCCTCACCGCTCTGGGAAAGGACAAGAGATACTGTCTTTTTTATTAATTTTTTTTATGTTGCCCATAGTTCTCCCGCCACCATATCACCCGTGAACCATCACCATATGCCCTTGTGTTCATCCTGCACACACCTAATGCCGTTCCCCCCGCCCCCGGCTATGTTGCATGCCTCAGTTCTATGGTCAGCTTGCCAGTTTTTACTTTTTCTTGACCTTTTGTTTGGTTTCTCTATATTCCACATATAAGTGAAATCATCCGGTATTTATGTTTCTTTCTGACTAATTTCGGCTAGCAAATCCCCTCCAGCTCCATCCATGCTGCCACAAATGGCATGAATTTGACTTTTTTGATGGCTGAGTCATATTCCATTGTATAAATATACCACAACTTTTTCATCCATTCATCTATTTTGGGACATTTGGGTTTTTCCATATTTTGGCTATTGTAAATAGTGCTGCAATAAACATGGAGTGCAGGTTTCCTTTCAAATTAGTGTTTTTGTGTCCTGTGGGTAGATACCTAAGAGTAGAATTGCTGAATCATATGGTAGATCCATTTTTAGTGTTCTGAGGAACTTCCACACAGTTTTCCATAGTGGTTGGACCAGTTTACATCCCCACCAGCAGTGTAAGAGGGTTCCTTTATCTCCACATCCTTCCTAGCATTTGTTATTTCTTTTCTTAATGTGGTACAGTCTTACTGGAGGCGGTATCTCATTGTGGTTTTGATTTGCACTTCCCTAATAACTAGTCATGTTGAACATTTTTTTCATATACCCCTTGGTCATTTTCATTTATTCTTTGGAGTGGTGTCTTTTTGTTCTGCCCATTTTGTGACTGGGTTGCTTGCTTTGTTTTTGTTGAGTTGTGTAAACTTTTTGTAGAACTTTGCTATTAGTCCCTTATCTGTCGTATGGTGTACAAATATTTTCTCCTATTCGATGGGATGACTATTTGTTTTGATTTTTGTCTCTTGCCATACAGAAGCTTTTTAGTTTGATATAGTCCCAGCTGTTTTCTCCTTTGTTTTCCTTGCTTCTAGAGAAGGATTCTCAAAGATGTTTCTGAGGTTAATATCATGGAGCGTTTTGCCTGTTTTTTCTTCTATATACTTTACGGTGTCAGGTCTTACATTCGAGTATTTTATCTATTTTGAGTTGACTTTGCATATGGTGTGAGATAGCAGTCTAGTTGCATTTTTTCTTTTTGTATGTTGCAGTCCAATTATTTATTGAAGAGGCTTTCCTTGTTCCAGTGTATATTCTTTTCTCTTTGTTGTAGATTAGTTGACTATATATATGTGTGGTTTTATTTTTGGGTTTTCAATTCAATTCCATTGGTCTGTGTGTCTATTTTTATCCCTATACCATGCTGCTTATAATGGCTTGGTAGCACAGTTTGACGTCTGGGTGTGTAATGCCTCCATCCTGCCCCCTTTCAGTCAGGAGAACTTTCACTATTCGGGATATTTTGTGGTTCTATCTGAATTTCAGTAATATTTGTTCTATTTCTTTGAAGAATACCATTGAGATTTTTATTTTTTTTAATCAGTTTTTTTTTAAAGATTTATTTATTTATTTATACAAGCACTGGGATACAGTCAGAAGCTCGGGAGGGTGAGAGAATTCACCAGAGTCAGAGCGGGGAGCAGAACAGGCAGACTGATGAAGTACACTGCTGAGGGGAGCAGCGGGCGTGGCAGGAGAGGTCTGTGCACCATGTGGGACCCTCACCCAGTGGCCGGGGATCGAACCGCGCTGCAGAGGCTGCAGGCAGCTTCGCAGCCCAGTGCTCAACCACTGCACCACCAGGGGAGGCCCAACCATTGAGATTTTTATTGGAATTGCATTGAATCTGTAAATTGCTTTTGGTAGGATGGTCATTTTTATAACGTTAATTCTTCTGGTCCATAACCCGCGAATATCTTTCCATTTCTTTGTGTTGTCTTCAATTTCTTTTAAGACTGTTTTGTAGTTTTCTTTGTAGAGGTCTTTCACCTCCTTTGTTAGGTTTATTCCCAGGCATTTAATTTTTTTGGCACAACTATAAATGGGATGGTTTTCTTAATTTCATCCTCTTGAGACTGTTTGCATATAGGAAGGCTACTGATTTCTGTGTATTGATTTTGTAAACTGCTACTTTACTAAACTGGCTTATTGTTTTAATTAGTTTCTCTGTGGATTTTTAAAGGATTCCTCATATATTATCATGTCATCTACATATAGTTTCACTTCTTTCCCTGTTTGGATTCCTTTTATGTCTTTCTCTTGCCTAACTGCTCGAGCTAGGACTGCCAGCACTACACTGAAAAGCAGTGGCGAGAGTGGACATCCTTGTGTCTTATTTCAGATCTTAATGGGAAGGCTTTCAGCTTTCACCATTACGAATGATGTTAGCTGTGGGTTTATCATATATGGCTTTTAATACATTAAGACATGTCCCTTTTATCCCAAGTTTTTCGAGGGCCTTCATCATAAGGACTTATCAAATGCTTTTTCAGCATCTATTGATATGATCATATGGGTTTTCTTTTTCTTTTTGTTGATGTGGTGAATTACATTAATTGATTTTTGGATGCTGAACCATCTTTGTGTCCCTGGAATAAATTCCACTTGGTCATGGTATATAATCCCTTTGATGCATTGTTATATTTGGTTTGCTAGGATTTTATTGAGGATTTTTGCCTCTGTGTTCATTAGGGAGACTGTTTTCTTTTTTTGTGTTGTCTTTGGTTTTGGTATTAGTTTAATGTTGGCCTTATAAATATATTTGGTAGTTTTCCTTCTTTCTCTATTTTTTGAAAGAGTTTTTGTAGGATAGGTATTCATCTTTGAACGTTTGATAGAACTCATTTGAAAGGACAAGAGATTTTTTTTTAAGTGGTTTGAAGAAAATCTTTATAAGAAACTTTTCGATTCTTTCTTGACAAGTTAGAACAACTTCCTGTTGGTGGAGAGAGTGAATATTTGCTCTTTTTCAGACAATCTAGTAAATCAAAGGGTCACGATATTAGCAAAGTGAATTAAGGAAATCTGCAAATGATGTGAGTATGGCTGGAAGGGCA